TCATACAAAATGTAGACTAGGGGTCAACGGTCAACGCCGGAAGTCAACGGTCAACGACAAAGTCAACGCCGGAAGCCAACGGTCAACGCCGCAAGTCAACGATTTTTTTTTTTTGCCGGAAGTCAACGGTCAACGCCGGAAGTCAACGATCAACGCCGAAGTCAATGGTCAATTGTCAAAATAATATTTAAATAATTAAAATAATAAAAATAAAGAATTAAATAATAAAAATAAAGAATTATTATTTAAATGAAGAGTTAAATCTTGGCCACACATCATGTACCAATCTAGTGGCTAGGAATGAGTCTCACATTCACACTTTAAATATGTGTACTCATTGGATCCAATCCCTATATATATATTTATATATATTAATATATATATATATTATATTTATTATGATACTTTTTATTTGTGCGACTTGTGTTATATTATACTAATTTTTTAACTTACACTATATAACTACATTAAATATAAATATATCAATTGAGAAATAATTTTATTTTTCTAATAGAATTTTAATAAATATTATTATTTTTTATTATTATAAAGATAAATATAATTTATTTATTTTATATATACAATATGGATGTCAAATCGAAGATCATCAAAAGATGATTAATTTGATATATTATATATGTAAAACCGATAAGAAATACAAAAGTTATCTACTTTTAAAATACATTTAAAATTCAATAGCTTACTGAAGGAAGCAAATCAAAATTTAGGGATATATTAGTCACTTAGTGCCTCACTATGTAAAATTACAAATAATTAAAGGGTTATATTAGTAAAAGTGATATTAAAATATCTAAGTTAGCTAAATAATATTTATGGAATACCCGAACCTAGATTATTAATTATTAATATATTAATATTATTTGTTCAAACCTAATTACGAAGCATGATTCTTCGCCAAATAATATTCTGAAGCACCAGAAGCAGCCACGTAGGCTCAGCGCAATCGGGAATTATATATATGGAGGATGTTAAGGTATTTGTTGTTTCTGATTTTATTTTTTATGTATCAATTAATTTCGTCATTTTAAGGTGAATGCATTCATGAATCTGCGCCCTACTGCTTCGTTGCAAAGTTCAAGATGTTTGAACATAACGAAAGTCGTATATAAGGTGTAAAGTGTTGTAAAAATCAGTTATAAAACTTGGGTTTGACTCGATTTTGACTGAATTTTTTATGGCTAAATATTTAATTTGAGTTGAATTAAATATTGCAGAAAAATTCTACGTTTCGAGTAGATACTCGTGGTATATTTATTTTCTCAAAACTGATTTTTGGTGAGTGAGAAATAAATTGTTAAAGTTAGTCATAGAAGGGCACGTAAAATGTTGGTTGTGGGATTTGAAGGGTCAAGAGTCACTCCCACATTGGACTCTTAAATGAGTTTAACTCTCTTTATTATAATAAAGAGAGTTGTAG